CTTCCTGCCCAAGGCCTCTGTCTCACTGTCGCCTGGGAACGCCTTCTGGAGCCACCCCACACCTTCACAGACACGTGTACACTGTTCCCACTACCTGCTGCATATAAGAGCCATCTTAAAATGAGCCCAGCTGTGCCAGCGGGGAGCCCCCCTCACATCTCTGCTTACCACCTTGGTGAAGAGGCTTTCGTTTTCAAAGCCTCCTCATGATCCAAGATGGCAGCTGGAGCTCCAGCTATTGCAACCGTGCATCAGACAGCTGAAAGAAGAGAAGAGGGGAAAGCAGAAGAGGATGTCCCTGACCATCTGCCAGTGTTTGAGATTTCCAGAACCTGTTCAGCACTTTCCGCTGTGGGGAAGCTGGGATCCTGTGGGGTGCTGGCCGGGGGTGGGCGTCAGACCGGCCAGCCGCTGCCCTCCTCGCGGGCCGGGCCACTCACCATGAGAATGCGCCGGTAGCTGTCGCGGTCGATGCCCCAGAGCTTGAGGTCTGTCTTGGCTTTCACAGTGGCGGCTCTGGGGGTGCCATAGATCAGGGCCAGCTCCCCAAAGCTGCCGCCTTCGCTGATGCTGGTCACCCACTCGCCGTTCACATACACCTGCAGGGCACAGAGCGGGAGAAACATCACCCAGGGTGTGCGAGGTCACACTGGCTGCTTCCCATGGAGCTGGGGACTCAGACAGACCAGGAGGTGACCGCGGCCCCCACCTGTTTGTTCTTTTTTTTGAAAGTACTGGGATTTGAACTCAGGGTCTTCAAGTAGAGCCACTCCACCAGCCCTTTTTTGTGAAGGTTTTTTTTTTGAGATGGAGTCTCATGAACTATTTTCTCTGGCTGGCTTTGAACTGCGATCCTCCTGATCTCTGCCTCCTGAGTAGCTGGGATTACAGGTGTGAGCTACGGCACCTGGCCCAGTCCCCTGCTCTTTGCCAGAGCCCTGCACACCTCTGCCCAGGAGGTGGCCTAGACTTTGGCCTGGCCAGTGGTGGTCCAGCCACCTGCCTCACACCAACCTTCTCAGAGCCACCACTGCTTGGACAGCCTCCAGTCCCCAAAGGACAGGCCAGGACGGGACAGAAGCAACCCTCGGGCACAAATGGCACAGCTGCCTCCAGGCAGGGCTGTGATTCAATTGCTTTTCATGTCTCAACTTCTCTGGGCCCTTAGTTTCCCTGGCTGCACACCAGCGGGTTGTGCTCTTAGCATCATGTGCGTACTGAGTGTCTAGGCAGACACCTAACTCTTGTCCCTCCCAAGGGTCCCTGTGTCCCCCTGCCCGGGAGCACGAGGCCAGTCTCGGGTGCTTTCCCTCCCCAGGAGCCGTTCCTCCATGGTGGCACCCAAGACTCCGTGGATGGATGATGGATGGATGGACCCCCCGGCCGGCCGGCAGTGCCAAGAAGACGGGGCCAGGACAAGATTTCTTCACAGCAGGCGAGGGCCAGGCGTCCTGAACGCTGTGCATTGACCGCGCGGCCCACACCCAGGCGAGAATGGTGGGGATTGTTCTCGGGGCCTCCGGGCAGGGCGGTCACTATGACCGGACACAATGCGCCCCTTCTTCCCGCCGGGTGTCAATGAGCGACCAGAATGGCTCCCGTTGGCAGAGTGGGTCGTACGGGAGAGGGTGGTGCTGACTCATGGAAGGGACTCTCACAGAAATCAATGAGTCATTATCCCACAATAATTGAGCCCAGAGTTTTCTGTCCCCACAGGTGATGGACAAGTCCCCGACTGAGTGGGAACCAGGCAGGGGGACGGCCGCCCCGCCCCACCCTGACACTGAAATTTAAGGGGGGCGGGGAGCATCCTGCAAAGGTGGGCTCTGCTCCTCCCACCCGGCCCAGAGGGCACCCTGCTTTCTGAGGGACTGAGGGGAGCCAGAGCTGTGGCCACCGAGCGAGTGTCCCCTCCAGGGGATCTGAAGATAGCAGCCTCCTGAGGCAATGGACCAGGGAACGTGACCAGCCGGGCGGGAGGGACGCATGGAGGGAGGATGGGCAACCCTGGCATCTCAGGGGTGAATTCAGGGGACTCAGAGAGCCCCCCCAGGGTGCCTCAGAGACCAAGGCAGGGCAGTGGTGATGGGTGGACGTGACCGCTCCTTCCCTCCCCTCGAGCCGGCTCTACCTAGGTTTCTGCAAGAACCTGTGCATGGAGGCTTCGTGTGCAAAGAACCTGTGCATGGAGGCTTCGTGTGCAAAGAACCTGTGCATGGAGGCTTCGTGTGCAAAGAACCTGTTCATGGAGGCTTCGTGTACAAAGAAACGTGAGTTGTGTAGGTGGGAACGCGAGGGTGCAAAATGTGAACTGCAGGCGTGGGGTGCGCGCTTTGCTGGTGTGCAAACGTGAGCGTGCAGGTGTGACAGGCGTGCAAGCATGAGCTGCGGGTGTGGCCAGCGTGCAGATGTACAGGCATGAGCCTTGTGCGGTGAGCATGCAGACATGTGCGCAAAGTGCAAATGTGAACGTACAGCCGTGTGCATGCGTTGACCTGAGTGGTATCTTGACGAAGTTTTCACGCTGCTCAGAGACGTCCAATGTCCCCCCGGGACCACTCCCCCACCCAGTGCCACCCGGTCTCCTCCTCATCCATCCTAAGGGTGGCCAAGGGTTGTCCCATGTGATGCAGTCAGTTGGGTTGGCTACATTCTTGACCGTGACTGATGTGCCCTGGTTTCTCTTGGGTACAGCCAGGGGTGGCATTTGCTGTGTCACGGGGACACCTGTGGTTAACCTCCAGCTGTGACTACAAACAGCCGTCTCTCTGGTCCCTCTGCCACCCAGGGCGCTCCATCCCTGTGCGTGACCTCGGCTGAGTCCTGATTGCGGGGTGGGCTCAAGGTCATGAATCTGAGGGTGGGAGAGGCTGGCTTTGGCTCAACACAGGGGTCCAGGCGACTGGGCGACTCTTCCCTTGGGATAGCTGTCCCCAGGGGAGGCAGGACACAGAGTCACCTGCCACAGAGCACAGGACGCCCAGCAGCAGAGGAGAGAGTGCCCTGTCCAGCTGCCATGGCGACTGCTCCCCTGGGTATATCTGACTTCCTGGGGGCCATCCCCAAAGACAGGGTGGGGGCGGCTGCCCCGGGTACATCCAAAGCGAGCCGGGACCCTCTGCCAGGAAGACCCTTCCTCACCGAGAAGCGCAGGCCTCCAAGAGCCCTCTTCCTGGCGTCAGAGAAAACCATTGTACGCATCCCACAGACGGACCCAGGGCTACCCCCAAGAGGACAAAGAGGCCATCCTTCTCGGGACACTGGCCTCTGTCACAGCTCCCGGCGCAGGCGGGCCCCACCCAGCTGGTACACAAAGGGGCTGCACTCGTTTTGTTTTTTCTTCTTTTAAAAGAAAAATGGTGGGAGGCCCCACTGGGGTACATTATGCTCCACCAGGGGCCGTGGGGTCTTGTTCCATCCATCCGTCTTTCCTTTTTTCCATCGCCCCCGGCTCATCGAGCGCCCCTGGTTCCCAATGCTGTGCCCATCAATGCTGGGGACTCAGCAGTGGACGACAGAGTCTGTGCGCACGGGATCGTCCACCCAGCATGGTCACAGGCCACACAAACACACGTTCTTTATAAAATGTCCTAAGATATAAAATGTCTCCATGACCGGGAGAAGGGCTACAGCCATCCCGAGAACTTCTCCACAGAGGTGAACGTCACCAAGATCCACGTCAAGGTAGAGGGGCTGACGTGCCAAGGCCCTGGGGCAGGACAGGATCTGAAGGCACCAGACACAGTGAGATGGCCACAGGACAGGAGAGGTGGACACTCAGAGAAAGGCAGGGCTCGGTCGTAAACTCTAGAAGTGATAGGAAGTCTCTTTATGGTGTTCCCGCAGGGGATGGCACGCTGGTTCATACTCACAGAGCTGGGGGCAGGCAGGGGGACCACAGAGGGGCCAGGGAGCTGCACGGCCTATGGACTAACCACACCGCATCCTTTGCAGTCAGACACAGACTCCAGAGCCAGGCATGGTGGTACATGGCTACAATCCCAGCTCTCGGAGGCTGAGGCAAGGAGGACTGAGGTCAAGGCCAGCCTGGGCTGCAGAGTAAAATCCCGTCTCAAGAAAAGGAAACTGGGCACAGTGGCTCACATCTATAATCCCAACTACCCGGCAGGCAGAGATCAGAAGGATGTTCGAGGCCAGCCTGGGCAAAACTGGGAGACCCTATCTGGAAAATAACTAACGCAAAATGGAGTGGCGTGGCTCAAGTGCTAGAGAGCCTGCCCTGCAAATGCTAAGTCCTGAGTTCAAATCCCAGTACCGCAAAACCAAAAAACAAAAACACAGCAGCCTACTGTCCTTTTAAGTAGAAATGCTAGGATCCACGAATAAAATAAGTTGGAAGATATTTTTATACTTAGAAAAGTAGACGCAGCTCTTGGCAACACACACTGTAGCCCAAGTTTTTTCGGAGTCTCTGCGGAAAACCATAATTTAAACCATGCCGATGCTGCCGCATTTGGTCACTGGTCCCCCCTCCCCCTCCCTGGGAGACACTGCTGGTCAGAGGGCAGTGTCCACTCTGCGGGGGTGCTCAGGATCCCCCCACCACCCTCACCTGTTCAAGAGTGGTGTGGGGACCTGGGGGATGGCACCTCTTGCCTGGGGGAGTGATGCTGTGACCCTGTCCCTACCCTCAGAGACTCTGAACAGGGGCCTATGTTCTGCCCATGGCCCAGTAGCACCCAGGGTGGCCGTTTACAGAAGGGGACACTGAGGCTCCCAGAAGTTGGGCTGACGGCTCATCACAGCAGGGACGACAGTCATCGCCCCATAACCTGGCCCGGTAGCCCGACGCCCTCAGGATTCCCCATCGCTATCCATGTGGCCTTCGCCCACACGGCCAGCATGGTCACTGAGCACCCCCACATCACAGGTGGCTCCCTGCCATCCACCCCATCCTCCCACCCCACTCGTGGAAAGTCTGATGAGAACCAGGATCAAGGTGATGGGGACCTGGAACAGCCAGGTCGGCCTGCCGGTCACAGCTCTGAGCCATTGGGGCCCTGGATGCCCCAAGTATGAGGCTGCAGCCAGGAAGCGGGCGACACCCATGGTGCCCAGACATCCTGACTCTGGAGAGGCCAGTCCAGCCTTATCACTGCCTTTGACCCTGAACCTGACCTGGGGCTGGGACGGGAGGGAGAGGGAAGGGTGAGGCAAGGGGAAGCGGGGGCCTGGACCTGCGGAGACAATGTACTTGGGGAGCTCCAGTTACGTGAAGGTGACCCCACATTCCCCCACCCCCGCAAAACTGCCTCCACACGTCCCTGAGCTGGCGGGAGTCACGGCTACAGGTGCAGACAGAAGGAAGAGGTGTGAGGTCAAGGGACAGACAGACAGACGGACTTGGGATACAAGGGCTCCAGCAAGGAGGCAGGACATCACAGGCCAAGATGCTGGGGAGGGGGCCAGACCCAGCATCTCCCTCAGCCAAGGACAGGGCGACTTGGGGGATAGGACAAGCTTGAGTCCTCTCTCTCTCGCTCTCTCTCCCTCACTCCTTTTGGGTTTGAACTCATGACCTCGCATCGCTAGGCAGGTACTTGACCCCTCAAGCAACACCCTGGCCCTATTTTTTGAACAGGGTCTTGTGTTTATACCTAGACTGACTGGACCACAATTCTCCTGTTTACGCTCTCCAAGCTGAGGTGACAGGCATGTGCCACCGTGCTCAGCTTTTTATTGGTTGAGATGGGAGCGGGTCTCACTAATTTTTCTGCCCTGGGCTGGACTTGAACCGACATCCTCCCTACTTCTGCCTCCCAAGTAGCTGGGATTACAGGCGTGAACCACTGTGCCCAGCTGTGTCTTCTGCACTTGCTAGGTTTGATGTAGGGAGGGAGGTGGTCACCATGTTGGGGACCAGGACAAGCATGCAGTGCAGATGGGGGCTCTGTCCAGGGGTGGGGAGGCTGCTGGTGTCAGGTGACAGGTGGCAGGTGTGGGGTCTGCCAGTAGGGCAGGAGCTGGTCAGTGTCCTGATGGGAAAGGAGGGGGCCAGGAGCAGCCATGTCAGAGCTCCAACCCCTGCAGCAGGTACATTGGACAGTCCTTGTTCTAATCTTCCCACCTCTGTGGGCCCCGTGTCATCCTCTCCGTGGGGACATGTTGGGTCCTGAACAACCTGGGCCCCTCGGCTGGGGAAGGATGAAGCCGAAACTTCTTGAAGCCCTCGTGGTGTTTTGAGCCACTCAAGGGGCGTCTTCTGGGGTCCCAGTCTTGGGTCCCTTTGGCTCCGTGAAGGAACAGAGAATGAATGACTCACAACCACCCCTCTGCCCACGTTGAAGATGTCTTCCAGATGGATTGCAAGACTCCTGTGACTTTAGTGAGCACAGAAGAGGGAATATTGCAGGGGAAGGAAAAGTGAGAATGGGAATCAGGACCCTTGTGGGGCTCCCAGAGTGGTGGGGTGGGGGGCAGGGGTCCTGGTCTTTGTCATTTTCCAGCAGACAGAGGAGCCGGACCTGGAGGGTCTTGAAGGATGTGTAGGAGTTTGCAAGGCAGAGCAGGACTAAAGCAGAGGACACAGAAGATGGAGCTCCTGAGGTGTGAGACTCCACTACTAACTTCCTGTTGCTGTCATGAACCCAACTCAGCCCCCAGGCCCAGGCACCAGTCCACCCTTCCCATGGGAGCTCTTGGACCCAGACAGCTACCAGATGTTGGGGGAAGAGACAGAGGCAGTGGGGTGGGTAGTAGTGGCTTGGGGTTCAGAAAGAGCCTGGAAGGAAAAACCACGGATGCAAAGGAGAAGTGAGCCGCCCTGACCTCTGCCCACTCCCACCCCATGGCATCACTTCACTGGGGTGGCTGGAGAACAGGGACCTGGGGGTCCACCTTTGGGGTGCTCAGTCTGCACCACCCCAACACCAGGCCTGGGTTTGGCCAGAGCCTGTGCCCCATGCTGGCATGACAGGCCACCTCCTGGGACAGGTCCAGGCCAGAGGACGAGGCCCAGCTAGGGCTGCCCTGATCTCCCATCTTGGGTTGTTTTGTTGTCATTTTGCAGGACTGGGATTTGAACTCAGGGCTTTCATCTTGTGCCATTCCACCAGCCCTTTTTTGTGAAGGTTTTTTTGACATAGGGTCTTGAGAACTATTTGCCAGGGCTGGCTTTGAACCGCAATCCTCCTGATCTCTGTCTCTTGAGTAGCTCAATTACAGGCATGAGCCACTGGCACTTCTTGGTTTTTCGTTTTTTTTTTTTTTTTTTAGCCTGAAGTGAATCAGCAGAAGGAGATTGTGGCCAAGCTCATCCTAACACGTCTCCCACATGAGCCGTTAGCTCCTGCCTCAGTTTCCCTGTTTGGGGAAGCAGGACCCCCCTCCCCACACACACACAGACCTCAGAGTCCTGGTGCAGGGGCTGAGCTGTCAGATGCGCTCAGGACAGACAGATGACAGGCCAGTGACAAAGAGCACCCTGGGGACCCAGCAGTGTCCCCCGCAGGACGGCGGGTGAGTCACTTCCTGTGCGGTGGCTCCGGAAGCAGGTGGGACCCACGCGGTTCCCAGAAACACGGGCAAGGGACACGGCAGGGCTGCTGAGGAAATGAGAAAGGGCCCTTCCCAGAAATAGCCTGGCTGGACAGACAGGCACAGGGGCCGAGGTCAGGCCCAAAATAGCTGCTGGCCCCAGTCAGCCGGGCATGGCGTGGCCTGGACGCCACAGAGGGCATCTAGCGCAGGGCGGGTCCCCTGGGCAGAGGACACACAACCTGTGGGGGAGGGGAGGGCCATGTCCCCACTCTTGGGGGACCTGGGGGACCGGCCTGGGAACTGGTGGGCATCTGGGGCCTTGAGGAACTTCAGGGGTCAGGGTAGACCCAGCCTTGTCCTCAGGTGGCTTCCAGCCCTTCCCAGACAGGCCTTGTAGAAATCGTCACAGGAAACGGCTCAAGGTCACAAAAGGTGCATGGTGGTGAGGGCTAGGGGACACCCACAGGAGGCGGCTGCCCTGATGACGCCCAGGATAAGGAAGTGACATTTCGCTGGATACCAAAAGGAGAAGTGGGCGCCCAAGGTGACGCTGCCGAGAGCCACAGGGTGCTCTGAGCAGAGGGATGGATGTGTCCCAAAGCAAGGAGGCCCTGTGTCACCAAGACCCTGCCCTGAGGACCACGGCGGGGACCCGGCCTGATGCAGAGAGACAAACGTGGGAGACTTCAGCAAGAAACAAGACTTAGCTGCCCGCGGGTCAGGGACCTGGAGAGGGAATGTCACCACCTTTCAAGCCAGGTCTCTAGGACCTGGACTGGCGGTGGCCAAGGACGCAGGAGGAGGCAGGTGGCAGGGGAGGACCTGAGATGGGGTCTCCAGAGAAGGGGGTGCTTTTAACACAATATAGGCAGCTCCAAAAAAATGGGGGCTCTTCACACCCCCTCCCCCGGTGACAAAGATGCCATGAGAGGCCACAGGGCAGTTCGGGCATCTGGGGACAACAGGCCACAGACATGACGCCCCATCCACGTAAAAAATAACCCCAACATAAGATCGAGGTGTCCCAGTTTGAAGACCAGAGCTGCTGGTTTGAAGGCAGCTCGAGGCCACACAGGTCAACAGGTCCCCACTGACCCCCCACGGAGTGGACACCAACCGAGGACCTGACCACTGCTGGCACCTGCCCGCCGTCCCTGACATTGCATGACGTCATCTCTTAGACGCAAAGTCGTGTTTGTGAGTAAAATGTTAGAAACGGGGCTGGGGTGGTAGCGGGTTTGCGCCCCAATCCTACAAAGAACGAAGTAAGACGTTAGGACCAGGTCCCGGAAGGACAAGAGCGGTTAGGGCTGTGCCAGTGACCCCGAGACCCTGTAAAACCCAGGCAGGGAAGAGAAGCCATTCCCCACCAAAGTCAGAAGGGAGACTTACGTCCACTTCTCCTTGGTCAACGACGTAGAAATTATCTCCTTCATTTCCTGGAACAAGAGAGAGAGAGAGCGCGTCAGCCAGTGTGTTACATGCGTGCAAAGCAACCTGAGTCCACGCGCACGAGCTGCTACGCCACTGGCTTCCTCCCAGAGACCTTGGCGCCGTGGTCCAGCACACCCGGTGTCGTTCAGTGTCCAGCCCGGCTGGTCAGGAACTCTCCAGCCTCCTGTCTCTGCCACCTGAGTGCTGCGATTGCAGGTGTGAGCCACCATGCCCAGCCTCGTCATTCTTTGGGGTGTTTTGGGGTTTTTTTTTTGGCAGTACTTGGATTTGAACTCCAGGCCCTGCACTTGCTAGGCAGGTGCTCTGTCACATTCCCAGCCCTTTTTGCTTTAGTGATTTTTCAAATAGGGTCTCCATGTTTGCCTGGGGCTGGCCTGGCCTCCGACAGAGATCCTCCCGAGTAGCTGGATTACAGGCGTGAACCACCATGCCTGGCTTGTTTTTTGAGATATTGCCTCATTAACTTTGCTTGGGTTTTTTGTTGTTGTTTTTAAATAACCAGGGGATTATGGAGCCTGGCACAGGTGGCTCACACTACAATCCCAGCTACTCAAGAGGCAGATTTTGGGAGAATCACAGTTCTAGACCAACCTGGGCAAAAAATAAAGTTTGCTAGACCTCATCTCAACAGACAGAGCTAGGCATGGTGGAGCACAGCTGTCACCCAGCAACAGTAAGAAGCATAAAATAAAATTGTGGTTCTGGGCAAAAAGGCCAGACCCCATCCCCAAAATAACCAAAGCAAAAAGAGCTGGAGGAGTGGCTCAAGCAGAAGAGCGTCTGCCTAGCAAGCACAAGGTCCTGAGTTCAAATCCTAGTGCAGCCAAAATCATAATAAAATAATAGTACAGAAATGTATGGTGTCAACTGAGTCTGCTTCGTTCCTCACGTTCTGCTGTGGATTTTGAGGACAGATGGAGACAGTGGGCTCTAAAATCTATTACGTACCTTGTTGTATGACCGTCTCTCCCGCGATATGAGTGACAGGGAACATGGCGTCAAATATATCACTGAAAAATAAAATCCACAAAAAAGAAAAACCTTAAAACCTCAGCAACCTGCTCTCCAGAGACAGCCGCTCACTCGGAACCCTCCCCACAGTTTTCCAGGTCCATCTCCAGGATGCATGGTTTGCTGATTGACTCCTTACAAAAATGAGACTACAGTCAGGAGCCGGTGGTGTTCACTGTAATCCCAGCAAATTGGAGGCTGAAATCAGGAGGATCGTGGTTCAAGGCCAGCCCAGGCAAATAGTTCGTGAGACCCCCATCTCCAAAATAACCAGAGCAAATGGACTGGAGGTGTGGCTCAAGTGCCTGCTTTGCAAGTGTGAAGCCCTGAGTTCAAATCCCCAAAAAGAAAAACGTGGCCACACTACACAGTGTTTCGGGCTGCACTTAGCACAGCAGAAGTCAAGCAGACATTTCTGTGTCAGTGAACACAGCGTCCCGCCGTGTGACAGCCAAGCTTGATGACACATTCCTGCACTGTTTTCTTGGGGGAAGAAAACCCTTCCAGTCACAGGGGTGTCCTGGACTTGAGTGCAGAAGTGTTTGGAGCCGGTGCCTTGCGTGGGGGCTCAGCAATGGCACTCAGAGGCCGGGGCGGCTGGTGCAGGGTCTGCGCCCATGGTGGGCCACACTAACAGATGCCAGGGGGGCCGGGCACCATCAGCCTGGGAAAGAGAAAGAGCCCCCCCTTCATCCCCAGACACCTCATCTTGCCAGGACCGTCACCAAAATACAGACATGCAAAAGCCACCTTCAGAGACCTGCCCGTCCCCAGGTGCGTGGCTCCCCAAGGCCATGAAGCCTTGTGTAAAGGACGGGGATGCCGGAGACCCCGGGTGGAAAGTGCCAGGAAACGGCAATGGTGGCTGCCATCCTGCTCTGATTTCAAAAATGTTTCTGGCCGGGTGCAGTGGCTCAACCTGTAATCCCAGCTACTCAGGAGGCAGAGGTCGGAGGATCGCAGTTTGAGGTCAGCCCAGGGGGGAAAACTAGCATGGGAGACTTTATCAAAAGCAAAAGGGCTAGGGAGCTGGGGTCAAGCTTGAGGCCCCCAAGTTCATATCCCAGTACAAGAAAGAAGGGAAAGAGAGAGAAAAAAAAATTCTTAGCAGTCTTTGCAGGACTGGGAAGTGGAGGCTGAGCCTTGCAGGCACACGTGGACTGAATTGTGAACACAAAATCAAAGATCCAGAAAGCCCTGCAGCCTTGATTCCAGAGTCCAGAAAATGGAAATAAGTAATTCTTAAAATACTGGCCGTTTTCTCTCTCTAAGAAACGCTTCTTGGCCTAGTGTGCCGGTGACTCACGTCTGTAATCCCAGCTACTTGGGAGGCAGAGATCCAAAGAATCAAGATTTAAAGCCAGCCCAGGCAAAAAGTTAGTGAGACCCCATCTCAACTAAACAAACCAGGTGTGGTGGGACGTGCCTGTCACCCCAGCTGCATAAGTAAGAGGATGGCCATCCAAGCCGAGCACCAGGCAGAAACGTGACAAACCACCAAACAAAAGGGCTGAGGGGCGGCGTGAGTGGCAGAGCATCTTTCTAGCAAGGCCCCGAGTTCAAACCCCAGCGCCACCAAAAACACATAAAAAGACTGGCTGCTTTCCGTCTTTAAGAAATGTGTCTTTTGAGTTCTGCTAACTTGGTTTTCTGGTTTTTCTCTTGGAGGACGAGGTGGCTGGGCGGCCGTCCCCTGGCAGGGTGCTTCTTGGCCACAGTGTCCCCGTCACATCTGCAAAATATCCGACTGCACTGCTCCAAAACCACAAAAACAGGGCTCTCAGAGGAGCAGGAGTTCTGAGAAGCAACTGCACACTCTCCCTCGCTTGAAAACACTCAGCTCCTCGCGGCTCCCGAGACACGGGCAAAGAAACCATCTGTTTGCCCGCTCCCGCTGTGCGGGGCTTTCTTCCACTTCTTTTTCTGGCTGAACTGGGATTTGAACTCAGGGCCTTGCACTTGCTAGGCAGGTGCTCAACCATTTGCGCCACACCGCAGCCCTTTTTGCTCTGGTTATTTTTCGGATAGAGTCTCAAGTGTTTACCCAGGGCCAGCCTCAAGCTTCAATCCTCCCGTCTCTGCCTCCCTCCCCAGAGCTGGGTGCATCTCCGCACCTCGCTCACTTGTGCTTCTCGTACCTGAGCCTGAAATACTTTTTCTGGGGGATGTGGACCCTCCCACCCCCAAATGGGGAATTTTAGCCCTTGTCATCAAAGCACTCACTAGCAACTGGTGTCACACTCGGGTCCCCAACCTTCCCACCCCCTCCATCAGCAACGCGGGCTTAGCGCATGTGCACGGCGGGCTTCGCTGGGCCTGGGGTGCAGCAGGGGAAGCAAATACATCACTCCCACCACCCAAGGCCACCCAGGGCCAGGCACTGCCCTGAGAGCCATCATCCACATCTTGTTCCATCCACACCCCGTCCCTGCAAGATCAGAACTGCAGCACTCCATTCTCCAGACCCCACTTGTATTTGTTAAGATGGGGTCTCACTAACTTTTTGCCCAGGCTGACCTCAAACCACAATCCCCCCATCTCCACTTCCCAAGTAGCTGGGATTACAGGCGTGAGCCACCGTGCCCAGCCCTGTTTCTCTTTCTGTGATGTGTCATTAGCACAGAATTGAGACACTTAACATTTCTCAATTCTCCAAAAAAAAAAAAGCAAAACCTGGACTTTAAAATGTTAAAACATGCTGATCTCAGTGTGGTACAGACTCCAAACTCTTAACTTATGCGTGTGGGATCAAAACCAGCAGCTTATTCACAGCCAGACACAATTCCAAACGAGTGGGAGTGCCTGCCACGTGCACCTCCAAAAATCACATATGCTAAACCATCTTGCCTAAGAATCGCTCGAAGTGAGCAATTTGGCAAACTCGGCCATCTTCAACAGACTTCCTGCTCCCCCCAGTAAGGGGCTCACAGGTCAGACAGCCATGACATCTTAGAGATGGTCACTTCCTACTCCTGGACACTCGGGGACCCGGGCCCTGAAACTGCAGGTCAGGATGGACACAGGGATCCCCACCTGAGAGTCCATTCCCAAAGTGCCCCCACCTGGGGGGACCCAGCCCAGCCATCTGTGGCCTTTCTCAACACTGGGATGGGGGTGTCGAGGTGTGAGGTCCCCACAGGACGTCAGGAGGGGATTGACCAAGCCATTGGAGAGCCAAGGGCAGCGGTACACACGTCCACAGGCCCAAGGATAGTGAATGTGTCAGCCTGGGGTCAGGGCTGGGCACAGGGGGGACTCAGTTCCTCCTGAAACCTGAGAGGCTTTGCTGTCGTGATCTCAGTTGGTCACATCTGTCCATGAACAAAACACACAGCCAGTGGCCTTCCCCAATGGCATGGCTCTGGCTAAGAAGTAGGGGTGGTCTTTGGACAAAAGGTGCCCTGAACGTCCACGCACTGTGTCTGCCCCTTTAATTCACTCACCCTCACCCTCGGGGCCCCAGCACTGCTCCCACTTCACCATGGGGAAACCGAGGCTGAGAACAGGACACTAAGAGTTGACACTTGACCACCCGAGAGCCCCTGGGGGTTCCACCTGTCTCATGGGCGCACCAGGGACCATGTCCATGGCAGCTCGGCCCCTCCCTGGACAGGACAGGAATTCAGATCTCTGGTGTGTGTCGGGTCCATCACCCCACCAACGACTGTCACCAGCAGGATGAGGTTCCAGATACTCCAATGGCCAGAAAGGTCAGATTCTGCCTGTACAGAACTCTCCATCAACTACAGACCACAGGGGACTACCGCAAGGTGTGCAGGGACAGGGCCACCGCCTGGACACGGGGCAGCTCTTGCACTGGGTCACAAGGTCCCCACAGAGTCACACACGAGTTTAGCGGGATGTCCCCTACAGCACCTCAGGTGCAAATGTGGCCCAGCTCACGGTGCTCAAGGCCATTCTTGTTTTACTTACACACTTACTCCTCTGCCTCCCCCGGCCCTGTTCGCACCGTGTCTCCTTTCATTGTAAATTTCTCTCCATGCAGGATTTTTAGAGGGGTGCATCTGCGAAGACTTGTGTTGCACGATGGCAGGTCCCTGGCTGCGTCCCCTGCACCTGCTGGGTTGGGGTGACACACCGGCTTCTGCTGTGTTTTCACTTCGTGTCCCTCAGGTCTGGATTTCTCTGCAGGGATCCGTCCTGCGGCCTTCCTGCTCTTTGTCCCTTGATAGTGGGCTGTCTTTTTTTTTTTTTCCTGTTGACTTACAAGAATTCCTTACTGGATGTCACTCACAGAGTCTCCTGCCAGTTTTTTCCACCATAGCCTTGCTTGGACAGACACCTTTCATTCAATATGGCCTCTTTCCTGCTCTGGGGTTCGTGTCCTGTGGGTTGATTAGGAAATTGTCCCTCCACAACCAAGTCACCCTACACTTCTGTGTCCGTCAACCCGGCCACCATGATAAAACGCCACAGCCAGGTGGCTCCAACAATAGTCCTGGAAGCCGGGGTCCGAGATCACACGCATTTCTGGGCTGTGGTGGCCCTGTCTCGCCATGGCAGGGCACTTGTGTGGTCCCTGTGTCCCTGTATAAGGGCATGGGAACCCCGTTGGGGGCTCCACCTCATGGCCTCCCCAGAAGAAGGGGGGGGCTTCAATATGTGAAATTTGGGGGCATTGGGGTGAGATCAGTCCACAGCAGCTGCCTTCTGCCTCCCACCACATAATCACTTACACGTTCATTTCTAGGTCATTTTATTTTTTTGGCGGCACTGGGGCTTGGACTCAGGGCCTACACCTTGAGCCACTCCACCAGCCCTTTTTCTGTGTTTTAGATTTTTTTGAGATGGGGTCTTGTGAACTATTTGCTTGAGGCTGACTTTGAACCTCGATCCTCCTGATCTCTGCCTCCTGAGTAGCTGGGATTGCAGGTGAGAGCCATTGGCACCCAGCTTGTCAAGTTCTTTTTCAACATCTCTGTGAGTGTCGGGCATGGTGGGGCATGCCTGCAATCCTGGCACTCAGAGGAGGCAGGAGGGTCTAGAGTGCAAGACCAGCCTGGACCATATGACTTTCTCCCCCATCTCCAAAGATGGTGATTTACACAGATGACGCATTCTGGGGTTGAACTGTCCCTCAACTCTGAATAAACCCTTCTTGATCACAGCCTGACTTTTTTTTGTGGCGGGGGGCATTGGGGTTTGAACTCAGGGCTTTGCACTTGTAAAGTAGGTGCTCCTTGCAGTCCTGCATTGCTTCTTCTTGAGATATTGTCTCCATTTTTGTGCAGGCCAGCCTGGACCACGACTGAGTAGTTGGGGTGACAGACACACTGCTGGGTTTCTCTGGCTGTTCAGGACTTTTGTGTCTATGTTCATGGTGACATGTACTTTTCTTTGCTTGGACTGACCTTACAGGGCTTTGGGATCTGGACACCACTGACCTCCCACCCTGAGCTGGTGGCTCTCTCTTGGTTTCTGTTTTCTCTGACAACTTGTCAAAGTTCCTTGAAGTCTGCCAGCCTCAGGACGCAGGTGTCCTCAGGAGGACAGTCTGGTGACATTTCAGCACACTTCAAGTTTTCTGTCCTCCATAGGCCAACGTGGGTGCCACTTTCAAACCTTACTCCTGACATTTAAAAACTGAGAATAAGCAGGGCACTGCAGCTCACACCTGTAACCCCAGCCACTTCGGAGGCCGAGATCAGGAGGATCCAGGTTCAAGGCCAGCCTGGGCAAACAGCTCTAGAGACCCCCATCTCCAAAATAACCAGAGCTCATGGACTGGAGCTGTGGCTCAAAACACAGAGTGCCTGCTTTGGAAGTGTGAAGCCCTGAGTTCAAATCCCAGTCCCATCAAAAAAAAAAAAAGAGCATTCCTGAAACTCCAAATTTGGGCCTTGTCTTTGAAAGAGAATGGAATGCGGGGTTTGGGGTTCACAAAGCAAGAATCCAGCCCCCCACCTCCCACCCTCCAGTCTGCAGAACCCTGACCCCTCCCGAGCTCTGGGTCCACGGAGGCCGGTTCAGCGGTGACCGGGCGCATTACGTCACGCGCATTACGTCACACCACGTCACGAGGGGCGGCCATGTCCCGGGCACAGGCTTTCTTTTGGCGCCCCTGGTATCTAAATTTGCATGGAGGGACCGAAGCTCACCCCTAATGAGAGACTGGGTCCCCCAGAGCAGGTGGGGACGCCGGCGGCGACACAGGTCAGCCCTTGACCCCTCTCTGCGCTTCGCTCCCGATCCCACAGCATGGGAGGCCGCCGGAGACTTCCCGTCCCCGCTACGTCTGCGCCCTGCGGCCCAGGAGGAGCCCGCCGGCCAATCAGAGCACAGCTCAAGCCCACCAGCCAATTAGAGCGCGCCTGCGAGCCCGCCAGCCAATCAGAGCGCATCCCGGCCCTGTCCCGCCCCCAGGGGAGGCCGGACAGGGCCCGCACGCCGTCCACGCAGTCCCCGCGCATCTCCCGCTCAGCGACCGCTTTCCGCACGTGAGAAGGAATTTCTGTGGCTGTGAAGCCGAGGCGCGTGACCTTTTCCGCAGAGAACGGGAAGGCGCACAGCCGCCTGCGGCTGTACAGCAGTCGGTTTGTGCGTCCCGCGTCCCATGCCGAGGCTTTCTCTCTGCACAGTTTTGGACCAGGCACGGCGGAGGCCGGCGGGCTCAGGGCCGGGCTGGGCTGCGCCCCGCTGGCCCACGGGTGAGAGGGCCAGGTGGTGACGTAATGTCCCCACCTGCAAGGTCAGGGGGGCATAAAAGCGACCCAGCCGAACACCGGCCGCCTCCTCCCCGTCCTCGCTTCCACCCAGGGCGAGGAGCCCGCGAGGACCGCCATGCGGGGCAGCTGGACGCGGTGCAGGCCCGGGTCAGCGTGGTTTACCCGGCCGGCCTGGGCACCCGTCTGTCTGTCCCGTGCTGCCCGTCCCAGCCCGAGGGACCGGGGGCTCGGACTGCGCATTTCCAGATGCCTGCGCCTAAGCAGCAGCGACTCCGCCCGGCAGCAGCTCCGAGCGCGAGCGCGGCGGACACAAACCCTTCGCTTCTCCGCACACGGGGCCGGGGCCATGCTTGCCTGGCTCAGGACAGCGATGTCCCCGAAAACGGACCAGGGTAGGGCGGCGTCCGTGGAAGGAGGCACAGGCCAGGTGTCCTCTCCACGCCCTGGAGGTGGAAGCCAGCAGAGGATGGAAGCGCCTCTGGCTCGTGCGCCAGCTTCCAGAAGCACCAGTGTGCAGCTGTGGCCATGGTGCCGGCCCAGACGCTCACAGCATCCATAGGGCCCACACAACCCCCTGCATCTCCACGTGCAGGCTGAGGCTGGTGACAATGACATTTTCTGCTAGAATGGACCCGCCCTCAACAACTCCTCATGGAAATGGGGGGCTGCCAGGCTGGGCATCGTAGCACTGCTTGGAGTCATGGAAATTTGGTCAAAATACAAATTGTCCCCTAAAAAAGGGCTCATGGGTTGAAGGCATGGTTCCCAATACTACTTAGAGGTGGGGCTGTGTGGCCAGGTGCAGTGGCTCCCATTTGTAATCCTAGCTACTTGGAGGCAGCAACTCGGAGGATCAAGGTTTGAGGCCAACCTAAGCAAAATGTTCTCAAGACCCCATCTTCACCAATAAAAAGCTGGGTGTGGTGGTGCACGCCTGTCATCCCAGCTACGTAGGAAGCATAAATAGAAGGAGCACTGTCCACACCGGCCTGGGCAAAAAAGTGAGACTCTACCTCCAAAATAATCAGCGCAAAAAGGGCTGGAGGTGTGGCTCCAGCAGTAGAGCGCCTACCTAGCAAGTGAGAAGCCCTGAGTTCAAATCCCAGTACTGCAAAAAAAGGGGGGGGGGTGAAGAATTACAATGTAAAATCTGAAGAACCGCAAGGAGGAACTGCGCCGCAGTTGAGGTCGGCACCTGCCTGCCGGTCAGCATAACGGCAGGTCTGGCGGGCAGGTTAGGAAGGACACGGGGCACCTGAGGGTGGTGTCCATTAACCCGTGTAATGCACATTTATGGGACACTTCATCAAACAACAGGAAAACACCCCTTCTCCAACGCCCATAAACATCCACCAAAACAGGCCACATCCCGGGCCATAAAACACACCTGAGCAAATATTTAAAATGCATACACATCCCACAAGGTGTGCTGTGGGGTCACGGTGGAATTACAGTCGGAACCAGCACTGGAAACACAGCCTGGAAAACCCCAAGTCTGCGACACTAAGTAGGTATTTGTAAGTAACACGCGGGTCAGAGAGGAAGGTTCCAGAGAACCTCAAAAACAGTGATTCAAGGAAAATGAAGACCGCTTTGCCAAGGTGCGGGAACGTCTGGCCTTAGCGGGAAAAGAGACACAAGATCAGGGATGGCCATTTCCATCCTGGGAAACCCCCGAGGAAGGGCAAGTCAAGGGCTGAGGTGACTCCGTGGTCGAGGGGTGCAATACCCAAGTCAAGGAAGGAGGAGGAGGCGAGAAAACCGAACCCAAAGCAGCTGAGAGAAAGAATAAAACTTACGAACAGGAAATTGTCATGGTGGAGTGGCTCAAGTGGTAGAGTCCTGCCTAGCAAGTGCGAGGCCCTGAGTTCAAATCCCAGTGCCACCAAGAAAGAAAGGGAACGGGACAGGAAGGAGGGAGAAGGAAGGGAAAGAGGGGATCATAGAGCAAGTCAGGGAGCTGGAACCCGGGTCCATAGCAGGCAGCTGCCATCGGGGCTCCATCTTGACTGACCCTCCGGCTCCAGGACAAGTCTCCATGCATACCCCACAGGTCTAGGCCATCGCTAGGACGCCATCACCTCCAGCTGGAGTCCCACACCAGCCCCCTGACTTGCTCTGAGGAAGGGTGAGCCTTGGCTGTACCCCACTTCCTACAGTGGGAAGGACTAAGCTGTCCGTCTGTCTGCTTCCTCCACGAAGCTGCCTCTCTGTCTCCCCCACACCAGACCCTCCCTCCCCGCCACCTTCCCGTTCTGGGGGACAAGGTTCTGCAGCTGGGTTTGGTAAGGAGCAGAAAATGTAAAATCTCTAGCCACGCTAACCAAGCAAAACAGGGAAAGACACGTTTCTAACATCAGAAGAGAGTGGACGTCGCTGCAGACCGCAGCCGCTCCAGCAGTGACCCCACATTCGGTGACTTAGGTACGAAATGGACCGAGTCCCTGATGTGCAATCTTCCATGCAGAAACAGACAACAGGCCAGTATGTTTTAAAGAAAGTCAATCAATAGTCATTAATCTTCTGAAACAAAAATTGCCGAGCCCAGATGGGCTCGCGGTGGATGCTTGAGGACATTTAGGAAAAATCCCAGTTCCCCGCAATCTCCTGCAGACAGCACCAAGTCCAGAACCAGACACAGATGCCGGGAGGAGGAAAACTAAGAACACCTCCCTCTCACGCAGATGCAAACCCCTCAACACACGATGGTGAACCCCACAGTGAAGAGAACCCACAAACAGCCTACACTGGGCAGAGAGGACGACAAGGGCTGCTCATGGGCAGAGCCCTCACCTAGGATGCAAAGCCCGGGGCTTGACCCCCAGTATGGCAGGGGCAAGTGGGATGCATTCTTGGCGTGCAGGACCGCTAACATCATTTCAAACACCAAATCGTGTGACCACTGCACATATAATTCCTTTCTGTGAGGTGATCACATTGTAGCAACAGGCTTGGGGATGGGAGGGGGAGCCACAGCAGCCCAGGCAGAAAAGCATTCGACAAAAATCAACACCCACATTTGTGATTTAAAAAACGTTCAACAAAATGAGATTATAGGGGAGCATTATACCCAGCAGTGAGGGCTATTCACAGCTGCCTCCACTGCCCTGGAAGCTCCTGCTAAAGCAATAAAACAGGAAAGGAATAAAA